TGGCATCATAAACTGCTTAATCATTGAGATCTGCCATTATCGTACCATGCTTCGAACTCGTCAAAAAGACGAGTGAAATCAATCGTTCGACAAACGACAAATTCGGACTAGATGCGTTCTACTAAGTCGCTCTGACAACAAGACTAATTTTCGACAGCAAGGTTAACCCATTTATATAAATCGAAAGGAGACTGCGACCATACCAAAGGCCACAACATCTTGGTCTTGATATCTTCAATTACAAATATTAATTTGTTTTTTCTCTAATTACGAAATTACTAAAAAGTTGTACAACGTTTTTTGGGCTCTTTATTTTATGAAATTTTCTAGTGCACAGGACACTATTTAGTTTGGTATAGTATTTGCCACTTCCTTTATAAGCATTTAAGACACTACTGAACTATTTGAAAAGTATATAAAGGTAATATTCGAATGCTTAATTTATAAGCACTTAAATATTCTAGTTCAACTAGATTCATTGGGAATAAACACCATTGCTATAATTGTAAAAAGAATTCTGAGTGATAGGTTTTGAGGAACCAAGATTATATTGTCCTCATCTTACTTGTCTGTTTAGCATGCCTGCGTAAATGCCCTTAAGCGCAACCAATTCATCATGTGTTCCCTCCTCGGCGATCTCTCCTTCTCGGATTACAACGATACGATCCGCATCGCGTACAGTCGTTAGCCGATGAGCCACAGTGATGACAGTGCGTCCAGCTCTAGCAGCGTCTAGAGCAGCCTGCACAGCCTTCTCAGAACGCGTGTCAAGTGCTGAGGTAGCCTCGTCTAAAAGCAAGATGCGTGGCTGGCGGACGAGAGCACGAGCAATTGCAATACGTTGCTTTTGCCCTCCTGACATTCCGGCTCCACCCTCACCGATCCATGACTTGTAGCCCTGAAAAGTTTTTATTATAGTGCAGCGAAATTAAGGCTTAAAGCCACGTTTTTTATGAAATTCTCCCTTTTTTTATATGTGAAAGCATGAATATAAAATTTCATTGTAACGAACTTAATGTTTGGAACGAGATAAATATCAAAGGATATCGTGGTTAACAGCTAAGCAAGCTAGTTACTAAAAGCTTGAATGACTTATCAGACAGGAGCCTAAATCTGAATATCAAAATGTTTTTCCAAAGATAACAAAAGCCCCCTGAAATATATCACTACGGATGTCAGAGAAACACGATTGGATGGAATCGAGCAAATCTCTTTAATCTCCAGAGGATGCAAGTTGTATATTTAATTTTAAGGTATATACGTTTCTCTATGATCACGTCCATCGATACGGAGACATTTATGGAATACTATGATGTGCCATTTGGTACGAATTAATGGGCTTTTCCCCAAGGTCATATTGTATTTTTCGTATATAAGTAGAGTTTCGAAACTACTATCATCTTATAATAACCCTTTTCCTTTGTAGCATTGGCTTGTTCCAAGGTTTTGGCTCATCAGACGATTATATATGACTAATGAGTTAAACCTGTCGGAGTGCAACCATCTAATTCGGCTAAGCCATCTGAATCAATTCTAAGGACTAAAATATCGCGCTCTTAAAGCCTATTAAGTATTATCATTTCTCCTACGATATATCATTGATAGAGTTACAGAGAGGACTCTAAGAAAGTCTACTAGGTTACTATAGGTGCTGACATCTTAGCAGGAAAAAAGACTGTTTACTGTGATCATCAACTCTGAAAATTGAGGTTTTAATAAAAACATACAGTTTGGAGACTTCAATATAGGATCAGAAACGGAGATTCTATTTTTTTGTTAAAGCATGGCACGACAAAATTAATGTAGACAACTATGAGAAAGTCATCAGAGAAAACCGGCTAAGTAATCGTCAATGTAGAAAGAGGTTGGCTATGACATGTAAGGAGAAAGGGACGATATCAGAACACAGCCTTTAAAGACTTTAAGATAACGCAAAAAATTGTTTAACTGGATTTCTCTATTCAGAATAACGAAGAAGTAGACTATAAGCTACTCCAGAAATTCGATGTAATGGACCAGAATTTCAATAATATGTAGTTCATTGAAACATAGGTAGTTTTTTAACAATTAATCAATGATTTAATTGGATTTTTATCAATCGATTTCTACAGAAGTTGCTGAGACGAAAATTCAGGTTATATCGCACATAGGAAAAGACAACAGTGGGTCTCATCAAGTATAATTTGCAAAAGTAATATGATAATCCTGGTAAGAACTCTTTATGAAATGCTTTGTTTATGGGTTACTATTGCTTTGGAGCACTAGGACTAAACATGAACAAACAATCTGTTTCGTTTATGCCCGTCCGAATTTTAGCTTGAGGCAGTTGGTGATCCCAATCAGGAATGAGCCGAAAATGCTTAGTGACTTTTACATAAAAAAGTAAGCTTAAATAATGAACTATTTCCATCATAGCTAATAAGTGATGACAGACCTAGCATGACTTAAGACAGAATACCATAAAATATAATATTGAAAATACTGTGATAAAGCTATAAATGGCATTAGTTTGCGTACATCCGGTAGCTTTAAGATAAACTCATGAGCATTCGCCTGCTTGGCAGCCTCTTGGATTTCCTCAGTAGTGGCATCTAGCTTTCCGAGACGTATATTCTCCTCCACAGTACCTGAGAACAAAGTGGGTTCCTGTTGAACGACTCCGAGTAGGGATCTGAACCAAAGTAGATCGATATCACGAATATCCACACCATCAACAAAAACCTTTAAAATATTGGAGAGATAAAAGAATATATTGCGTTCAAAGCAATGGTATGAAGATTAAGAGATCATATTTATAATAAATAATATTTAAATAGATGCTAGTTACAATGCCTAAGCTCTTTTAATACTACAACCACATATCATAATGAAAAAACAAAACTCTATTCTCCTTGTACTTACCTTCCAATGTCTCAAACAGCCCATTTTCTATTTAAGGAAAGTCCAAGGATTTGTTTGAAGATCAAAAACTTAAAAGGGATCACAGCTTATTAATAAGTAAGGTTCACCAAAGATCCACTTATATTTATAGCATACTATATTTAGTTGTCTTGTTTATTATAAGGCAAAATATAACCCTCTAATCTCCTGATCTCCGACAATGACAGAGGTCCTAATATTTAGGAAAATCGGTTATACTGATTCGCGCTATTTCATAAGATCAGCCTTTATTGATTGGCCTTTCAGAGGAATTCTGAATGATTTAGTATAAGTTTACATATATCCATCCAGATAAAATAAATTCAATATATGACTCATTTATTCAGAATCTTGCACATCTATTTGTTAGCGCAGATTAATTTTTAGCCTTGGAAAAATCTAAAAGTTGCTAATTTTATATAGGCAGGATGGGTTGAGTCCTGAAGCTTTTTATCTATTTATTGTTTAATTGATCAAAAGAACTCTTCCAGTGCGATACAATTAGGTGTTAGGGAGAACTTTCAAGCTAATCGAGCCATGTGCTGAAAAATATCCCAGATTCACTAGACATTGATTGGTTGGAATAGGGTTTAAGGGATATGAGCATATCTTTAGGAAGAGCCTGTGCTCAACTGGATCTCGTAGCAGTGTGGCATAGTAGTAAAATATAGGAATAATACACTGCACTACCCGAATTCCGTTTCAGCCCGGAATACTAATAAGATCTATGTGAAGTCGAAATTGCAGTCCACTCTTGATGAGAATATCTTTTGGGAAGCAAAGCTAAGTGAAACTCGATAGCACCGTAAAGCCTAGTCAAAAAATTATGCGAAAATTCAACTATCAGTTATTTAAATCTTATGCGAACTAGAGTAAACACTAATCAAGATCTACAGGTATTTTTGAAACCTGAAAGATTTGAATAAACAAGTAAAATTCTTGTCATAGGCTCATACGGCTCCAGATACTTGTGGCACCAATAACGATACCATGGAATTTACGCAAAATTATATATGACAAAATATATTAGAGGATAATCACGGTTATACCCTAAAAGTATTGAGCAATCAGGAAATCATCATCAGATATGAATCAACGGAACATTTCTTCTGTTGTCCATAAAGTAAATGAAATTCTTAATTGAGAACTTAAATCAGTCAACAGGATTTTATATATCAAAGGCTTACATAAATTTTATTGCAATGAAAGGAATTACATATTTTACGAAATTCTTCATAATATAGAATATTTATTTTGGTTTATGAATAGCCCTTAATTTTTCGTATGTAAGTAGAGTTTTGAGACTACCAGTAAATCAATAATATAAGATGTATTCACCCTATTTCGTTTAAGATGATGAAGGACTAATAGTAGAATTTTCCCACAATGATATATGTAGGACTGATGTTTACATTTAATTTCTCATAGCCTTGCTTTCCTAAAAGTTGTTCTTATCCAGGGTGGGCTGCAGTTTCGACCTCGAATAAGTCTTATCAACATCCCCAACTGGCGAAAATTCTACTACGGGTCCTTTATCACCTTAAACGAAATAGGCTGAATACATCTCATATTACTGATTTACTGGTAGTCTCGCAACTCTACCCACATTTGAAAAATAAGTAACGTAGTCTATTGTTATAGCAAATATACGTTTGCTTCATCGACAATCCCATCAAAAGAATGTGATATGGCAAAATGTCTGACCGTCCTTGAAATTCACATCCACCCTGTGACCCAAGGGCACTCGTGGCAATGTGGCCGAGTGGTTAACGTGTCAAGCTCATATTCTACGCTGTCATTGTTTGATTACTGCTGGAAGTGTTGATAAGACTTATGCGAGGTCGAAACTCTGGATAAGAACAACTTTTGGCAAAGCAAGGCTATGTAAAATTCAATGGGAACATCAGCTCTACTCATATCATTGTGGGAAAATTTTACTACCAGTCCTACAGCAACTTAAACGAAATAGGGTAAATACGTCTCATAATAGCCCTTAAATCCATACATTTTATGAAGCAATAATGACATGTACAAAGTCAGGCAATTTAAAAATGTGTAACGCTTACACTTTTTAAAGTGGCTGACTTCAATAAGAACTAATTTCTAATGTATAAATAATTCAAGATAAAGGAAAATTCATGCTGATGCTGTTTCCGAGGCAATCTCCTCGATTCTGGTAAGGAGTCGTTTATAAATGCCTTATGATGAGAATTTCAGGTCATTTTTACAAGACGAGTGCTGAAGTCGTTTTAATTTTGCTACGGCATTCAGCTTGACACGATCCACTTGGCATCCTCCCAGATTTAAGTCCTTATTTGTCCTTCATTACAGGCTTATATATATCATTGCCAATTTAAATAAGCTCTTTTCAAAATAACTTAAATTAGATATGACGACCATTGCTATACCTTTGTTAACCTATAAGGCAGATTATTGAGACAAAGCTATCAAAAACGATCCACTCAGAATGCAAGATTTCTTTGAAAACTCTACTTAGCCTAAATAAGTAATCACCTCAAGCTCTATGCTATTGAAAGACTCTTCAAAATGAATTTTCTCCTATGGCAAAGCCTTCAGATTCAAATAGTCAAATAAAAATTCCCACTCAATAAAAGTTCCAAGCTATTCCCAAGAGTTAAGCTAGCTAACTTTGCCGGAATTACCACAAACACTTATAAACATAGATAAAAAGTCCATCAAACAGATTATACTGCCCATGATATTTTGCTTTCTATCGTGAAATATCTTAGTCATTTTATCTGTAGCCTCTTCTATGCATAGAAGAGAAATAAAAACTTAAGCAATGAAAACTTTTGGGGCATTTTGTACCCAAAGTGAGAGTAAATAGGTGAAATTCTAGGAATAAGGGAATCAATTTATCCAGTAGAACTGATGAGAAGTGAAACATGTATTCAATTCTGCATGGAAATGATAAGGCACCTACGGCTAACCGTTTCACAAAGATGCACACAGAGGGGATTTCTCTCAGATTAACCGTAAATAATAACGTGCTGAATAAAATATCATGTCATTTAAGAGGCAGTTAAGAAAGGTGGTTGAATCCTGGCTTTATTTAGTTAGGAACCATTGTGAATGCGTAAAATTAATAATTTTGGAGGAAGGTTTATTGGAAAGTTTCGATACGGTCTTCATTCATAGCAGTATTTAGGCACAGGAAGTAATTCAACCTCGTAGGCTAACCTTTAATAGAACCCAAAGAGTAGAAAAGGACTCAGTTTAAATAATCCCTGAACTTTAGCAGACACAAATGCTTGCGTTATGATCCAGTATATCTCCCAGTTGACGAATAGTTACATATCCCCAATATTATTGATTAGATATAAGTGACATTGATGAAAGAGTAAATAGTTTCCTACTGTTACTCAACCCGCGTGAATATATCGTTAAGTTTACAGTAGAGTTGTCAAAGAATAATAGCTTACTTTTCTTGGGTGTCCTGGCTACTGAGAAAGGTGGTGGATTAGGCAGAGATGCAGATAGGGAACAACAAATGCAGATTCTATCATAAATTTTCTTTTCAACCATAATTATGAGGCTGAGGCTTGATTTCTGGACTAAACTTATCCATTAGTTCTAATTAAAATTAATATCTCTACAAATTAATAAATTATTAGATGGAGAATATTTGGTCAGCGAAAGGTAAGCTAAGACCTGTCCTCAAGTCCTAACTTTTGAATATACATATATTTATTTATTTATTTATACATATATATCACATGGAAAGTGATCATTTAATCTAAAGATTTTAAGGTAACTTGAAGTATTTTGAAGAATTAGTTTTAGCCATTTTGCTTTCTGTAGTAACGGAGGAAGACTCAGGCCGATTTTGTCCCAGCCACATGAACCTATCTTATGAACTGCGTCAGCCTGAGCGCAGTACAAAATCAAAGGACTCAAACAGCAAATCTGTCTTATGACGATATTGACCTTGAAATCTCTTCATCAGGCGCTCTTACACGAAATGAAATCCACCACAAAGTATAATAAATACTTTTAGCGTTAGATTATGTTGTCAAAACGTTAAACATAGTTTGAGGCTTAAATTCATGTATAAGCTGAGGATAACCTTCAGCTTCCCTTCCTCTTAATCGGAAATTTATGTGCTTTTACTTGTTATAACGACTCATAAAGTAAACATTAAAGTGACTGCAACAAACCAAATCACCATTAAGAAAAATAAGTCTTGCAATGGAATTATTTTTTCCGAAATAATAGTTTATTCCAGATTTAAATATTCCTAATAATTGTACTCACAGTTCCAAGAAGAACATCGTAATTTCTCTGTAGCAGCTGAATGGCTGTACTCTTTCCCGATCCACTAGGACCCACGATGGCAATAGTCTGCTCTGCTTTTATTGAGAGATTAAAGTTCTCCATAACCTAAAATAAATTTCAAAACGAGTATTCGCATACAGAATGAAATATAATATTGTAATTATGAGTGACATATCCATATGAAGACTTAAATTGCTGAATAATAACTGAGGATTAAATATAAAGAGACAAAGAGACAAGTGAAGTCAATCCATTGACCAACGTTCTACCGAAATGATTACACTATCACTCTTTTACTGCCCTGGCCCATCTATTTACTCTTTACCTTTCTATCCCAGTCCCGCCCTCTCACAAATTCTGACTTGTTTGCCTTCAACTCGTCAAAAGGTGTGCTATGGGGCGTCATCACACCTGATGTTTACCTTGACCTTAGGTAGGCATATCCACTTTTTCCATCCTTACTGTTCTTTCATAATCGCCGTTCTAACGGCCCTGCTGGAAATCCTGGACCGAGGGGAGGATATCCTAGGTACAGAAAGGATCAGGAGGGAGTCGTTAGCACAACTAATCAACTTGGCAATAAGTACAACCTATTTCACATTCAACGGAAATTTCTATGAATGAATACTTGGACTTCCCATGAGACCGCCGCTATCACCTGACTTGGCAAATATATACATGAAAAAATTGGAAGAGTACTTCAAGATGTCAAACAGCAATGATTATGCGGTATCCGGAAGAATCCTCACATTTTGCTCACATGAAAGATAAAAACTGGAAGATTAAAAATTAGATTGATGAAACAAACAAATTCACAATGAAAGTAGAGGAAGGTGAGCGGTTATCTTTTCCTGGTGGTTAGAGTGATTCGCTCTAATGAGACGCTCAAGAGAAAATTGCTCAGAAAGAAGTCATATGCCAAGATAATACTCACTATACAGTCCCATCCCAACTACAGGCTAAAGATAGGAATAATGAGGAGCCCGATCATTAGAAGCCTACGATTGATGGATGTGGAATGCTTGGATAAAAAATTGGACAATTTGACTCGGATAAGCCTCGACAACGGCCAACCAAGCGAAATACAAAAAACAAACGGTCCGCGAAAGGCCGATAGGAAAACATGGACTATAAATCACAGTGAGGATGGAGAAAGATTCACAAAAGTGGATAAACATATCTTCCTGCGATCTAAATTAAAATCTACGGTCAATACTAAGGGAATGGAATATTCAGGTGACCACGAAGTAAAAAACAACACACTTTACGAATAGGCACATCTGTCACAGAAACTTGGCAGTGTCCAAAAGATACTAGAAATTCACTCGAGATGCAGCAGGCGACCGGAAATAGTTGTCCAGTTTGCTCAGATTACATGGATTTAATCAAGGAGAGGGCCCATAAAGGCAATGCCTAATATCCTCAAGCATTGTAATTAGAGCCTAGGCGCTCTACTCGGTGAGGCGGCAGTTCACGTGCTTTTAAAGGTTTAAGCAATAGCGTTTTGAGTAAAAGGTACACTGATACTGGAACCGAGTGAGATCAGTCAACCAAAAAAATAAGAAATTGATCTAAGAGACCATCAGGGAAATCCGAATAGGAGGCCAGAGTT